CTGGGTGTGGGGAGGGCAGTTGGGTGGAATCTGTCAGCCCCAGGCAGTGGATTTTTTTAATGACTCCCTGATTAGGATGTCTAGTCATTTCTTAAAGAGTAGAGCAGTAAACTAAGAAGAAAGGATCTGCTTTTTTGAGAATCCCGGCAGGCTAAGATTAGGTTGCCCTAGAATAAAGGGGACCAAAGTCAGACAAGCCTTGACCTTTCGTCCCCCTCCTCCTCCCTAGGCCACCTCAGAGATGGCATTGCCCTGTGCATGCGGCCCCCCACTGGCCACACTCCCCTTCCACAGCTTCCTAACTGCTACCTGGACTGGTGCAGTAGGCTACCAGCCTACACACAACAGCCGGGCTTTTCTCCTGCAACCCATCACCCAGAGGCTTGCCCATGTGCAGAAAGGGAGGAAACCCTGAGCCTGGACCCCTCTCTTTTAATTGTCTTCAGGTTCTTCCTTTTTACTTGTCTGATCTTGTAATCCTCACACTGGCCCTAAGTCATAACAGCTCTAGCAGACTCTTGTATGGCACTTGCTGTAGACAGGCTCTGTTCTGAGTGCTTTACATACAGTAACTCTTTTGATCCAAACCGCAAGGGGCTTTGAAGGAGGGGCTTTACAATCCCCATTTTACAGATGTGGAAATTGAGGCACAGGGAGATCAAGTAACTTTCCTGATGTTACACATGTGCTAAGGGAGGTGTGCATGTCAATAAATTTCAGCCTGCTTCCTCCCTTCCCCTGGTGTGTCCCCTTCTCCCCTGTCCCCTCACAGTCACCCCAGGGGCTGGCTCAGGCCCTGCTCCCAGCTCCAGAAGGCCATAAGCCTCTTCCAACCGCAGCCCTTCCTACCTCATACAACCCAACCCTGGGAGCTCCATCCCACCCTCAGGGAGCCCTGGGCCCCATGGAAGCAGTCTTGGCTGGGCTCCAGCAGGATGAGGGCATGTGTGATTCGTCCTTTCAAACAGCCACGCTTCCCGCATGGCTGACAGCCAGGAGGCCCCACGAGGCGGCTCAAGCCCAGCCACGTGAGGCTCCCTCCCCTCCCGCTGCCCCAGGCCCTGCTGACTCAGAGCCTCGCAGCCACCCCCTCCCAGGGACATGTGTGGGTGCAGGCTAGGTGGGGCAGGGGCAGCCCCTGGCACCCCACAAATCCCTGTGTGGGTTGGGTGGGAATGCTTCTTACCTTCTGTCCCATAACCAGCTGATTTCTCTGAACAATGGGCTGTGAACAAGTCCACATCCTGCAGTGTTCTCTCAAGGCATGACTCCTGGCCATAGACCAGCAACTTCTCCGTCATTACTCAACTTCCCTCTCCTGATTGTTTCCAGATTCCACAAGGCCGTGGACCTCCCTGTCTAAACAGCCCTCCTTTCTGCACCAACAGTTTTCTTGCCTCTGGAAAGTGGGTGCCTCTGTGTTCAATTCCAAGGATGAAGACTGTTTAGAAATCCCAAGTCTTCTAGAAGGCTGTGAGCTGTTGTCAGTGGATGGACTCAAGCCAATGACATCCAGCCAATTAACTCCCAAAGAGTCACTTTAACTTTTTAAAGAATCTGACTTGAGGAAAAACTGAAGACTAAGATTTCCATATAGGAGAGTCAGAAATCAAGCTGGATTTATAGCACTTGAACCCTTGCCTCTGCCACCCCATAGCGTGTAGGTTCAGGACTGAAGAGAGCTCTTTGCTACATACAACAATCAGATTTTCTGGCTAAGAAAGAGAAATTAAAACTTGCCAATTTTGCTGAGCATATGGAGCAACTAGAGCTCTCAGACTCTGCTGGTGGGAAGGTAACATTATAGCAACCACGGGGAAAACGCTAAAGCTGAGGGAACACACCGTGACCCAGCAGTTCCACTCCTGGGTATATTCCTAGTACCCTTTGAAATCATCCCAAGTAATCTGTCGAGGGCAGAATGAAAATGCTCTATATCCTGATTGTGGTGGTGGTTACACAACTGCATGCATTTGTTAAAACTCACAGAACAGAACCGTACACTCAAATCAGTGAATTTGACTGCATATAAATTATATCTTAATTTTTTTAATGTGAAAACCAGAAGAAAAGAAATGTAGAATGAATAATCCAATTTAGGAGTATATCTGTATGATGGAATATTATACAGAAATGAACAGGAACAAACCCCCTGCAGAAGGAAACAAAAATGAATCTCAAAATCATGCTGAAAGAAGCCAGACATAATGGACACCTGGGTGGCTCAGTCGGTTAAGTGGCTGCCTTCGGCTCAGGTCATGATCCCAGGGTCCTGGGATCGAGGCCCACATTGGACTCCTTGTTCAGCAGGGAGCCTGCTTCTCCCTCTCCCACTCCCCCGGCCTGTGTGCTCTCTCTCTAATAAATAAATAAAATGTTAAACAAAAAGGAAGAAGCCAGACATAAGAGTATGAACTGTATGATTTCTTGTGGACGAAGCTCAAGAACAGGAGAAACGACACCGTGATAGAGGTCAGAATAGTGGGGACCCTTGGAGTGCAGGCAATGGGGAGGGAGCATGATAGACCCTCATGGGATTCTAGAAAGGTCCTGTATCTTGAGCTGTGTGGTGGTTCCTTGGGTCTGTGCTCCATGCTTAAGATGTGTGCCCTTGATGAAATGGTTATTCTTCAATTTAAAAACAATTTTTTAGGGATACCTGGGTGGCTCAGTCAGTTAAGCGGCTGCCTTTGGCTCAGGTCATGATCCCAGGGTCTTGGAATCGAGTCCCGCATCAGGATCCTTGCTGGGGGTGGAGAGAGCTCCCTCTGCCTCTGCCCCTCCCCCTGCTTGTGCTCGCTCTATTTCTGACAAATAAAATCTTAAAAATAATCTGTTTTTTAAAAATTGTTATTACAAGTGACCCAGTGAGCAATTCAGATGATGTCCAGACCCCACCGGTGCCCACTGACTTGGCCAGCTCCCCGCCTGCGCCTGGCTCCACGAAGCTCTTTAACCATGTAAGCAGGCTGCACATGGCTGCTCCTGGGCTGGAATTCCTGCCCCGCCCTGGCCCAAGCAAAACAACCTTTAAAACTGGCTAGCAGCCCAGGTTTTTAAACTGCTTCCTTGCCTGATCTGCTCCCCTTTATGAGCAGCCAGGAAGAAAGTTACAGCTTCTCTTGCTGGGGGCGAGGAGGAATTGGAACACCTCTGCCCCAGCCCCTGAACTTCCCAGGAGTAGATGGGGTCCTGGCCTGAGTTGGAGGGGCAAACCTCTGGCATTCCCTTGGACCTTCTATGGGGGAAAGTTTTGTTTCCTGGCTGAACCAAGGCCCTCTCCCTGCCCCCTCCTCATCTTCCCCTACAAAATGAGCTATCTACCTACCTGGTAAGCTTAGGAGACAATATGTATAGTAAGTGTCTGGAACAGTCTAAATGCCCCATGACCACAGCTATGATTCTGATGGTGGGTATGATGGGGACAGATGTAGCCTCAGATGTCAGCACCTGGCACACAGCCTGGGCATTGTTAGACACTCAGCACCCATTGCTCCCTCCTCCCCATGCGGCCTGATCCTGACCCATGGAGTGGAAATTGGACACCCAGAGCAGAAGCCAGGCAGCCTAACCCCACCCCCTTGGCTGGGACCAAGGCAGCAGGTGAGGAGTGGGAGAATCCCAGGCAGCTGAAATGCTTGCTTGGCTTGTATCTGCTGTGTGACGTGGGGGCAAGTATATGCCATCTCTGAGCATCCCGCAGCCTTCCTCCTCTGTTGTATGATCAGGAAGGGGGTGGGGGTGCTTCCCGAGACCATGTAAGCAGAGTGGAGCTGGCAAATCTCAGTTGGAGACTGCCCAGGGCTCTCTCTCTCTCCCTGTTTCTTCCTGTTCCTCAGGGGTCTACACAGATATTTTTCCTTTTCTGGGGCAAGTCCCCTTGCCCAAATAAATGTTGTCCGTGGTATCACCTCCCTGTTCAATGGAGAGGGTTTCTGGAGCTTTCAGAGCCCCTCCCACCCGAGCAAAGGCCTAGAACCTTCAGACCATTAAAGTCACACCCCAACACCCCCCACCCATTGTGCCCTTGTGGGAGGGGTGTGTTGGGGGGGAAGCCCCAGCCTTTGGGCATAAGAATCTTGGGGGAAAAGCTGGAGACAGGGCAAGCGTTATTTATACTCAGTCTAGGAATCTGGAGTCCCTTGTTTCTCTGGTAGGAACTAGCCTCCATTTTCCCATCTGCAAAATGGAGTGAATAATCACTGGCACTGCCTAGTTCAGAAGGTAGATGAACTTTGGCAGAAAGTGGTAATGATGCCTGACATATTGTATGCACTCTGTATCAGGCAGTACCTTATTTGTACATGGGCAAAGGAAGCCCTACAATCACAGACTCGCATTTGGGGGCCGGGGTGCCCTGCAGTGGTATTCTGAGGGAATTTCCTGAGATACCAGGTTTGGGCCTGGGACCAGCTCTCCCAGATTGGCCCTTTTCCACTCTCTTGATCTTGAACTTGGCATCTCCTAGGTGGTGGAACCTCTGCTGGGTGCTGGGGATATGGAGAAAAGTCATTTCTCTGAATGGGGCAGGAAGGAAGGCTTCTAGGAGGAGGTGACATTTGAAATTGAGTCTCAAAGGAGGAATAACAGTTGAGGAAGAACATTCCTGATCATGCAACAGATGCAAAGCAAGGAAATGTGAAGAACAACGTATGGGGGTTTGAGTCAAAAGAGGTGAGAAGTGGGGCTGGGGAGGGCCCAGGTCCTAAAGGGCCATGCCAGGAGTCTTCTTAGTTTATCCTGAGGGCAGTGGGGAGCCACTGACAATTCTTGAGCAGTGACAGGGTCACGTTGGCTTTCCCGGTGCAGTTTAGGAAGGGTGAGCTCAGAGGTGCTGGAGTAGCTACATGAAGGTTAAGTGAGGCTGCCTTGGGGAAGAGAATGTGAGGCTGCCTCCACAGGAGTCTTCTGGCCCCAATCTGCTGACCTGTCCTTACCCTATCCCACCATCAGGGTCTGCCAAGGTCTGTCAAAGGCCCACAGGACATGATGCTGGTTACTCAGCTTGCTCAGTGCTTTATTGAACCAAGGCCTGAACAGATGAGTCAACAGGACCTTCAAGCACAGCCCTCCATACGTCCTGAGATTCAGAATCCAGATGTGGCTTTGTCCTTGGCTTCACTGCTTCCATGACATTTCGTCTTGAATATTTCCAAACCTTAACATGTAAAGATTTTGTCCACACAGAGACACATATATCCTTGCTGCAGGTGGTCACGCTCACTGAAATGCTTCCACTCAGCAGTTTGTGTGTTGCAGGACATTGGGCATCCGTGGCTCTCCATCCATCCACCATCCATCCATTCGTCCATCTGTCCATCCACAACAAGAGAGCAGCAAGTTCTGACCAGTCAGACCCCGGAGTTCACAGCAGTGGGGGCTGGGCTGCCAGGGGCTGAGGATGCAGACCTTAGCCCTTGCCCAAGAGCCCCAGGGAGGTCATCCCTTTCTGATGCAACAGAAGCCAGGGTCGAGTGGCTAATGTTTGGAGTCTCTAACCCAAGTGGAGAGAGGAGCCTAAATCTCAGCCTGTGCATACCCTGAGATGGGCAACAAATCAGACGAACGAATCAAGCATGCAGGTAACACTGAAACAGGAAAGAGTAAGAGCTTCTGTTTGTGCTAGAGGTGTTCACGTGGAAGGACAGGAAAGAGAGGAAGAGAAAGGGAACATGGCAGACACACCCAAGAGTGCCAACGCCCCGGGCAGGGAGAGGTTCTGCTTTGGCCCATCCCAGTTGGGGGGGGGGGCGCTGTGGACTTTCCCCCAGCTGCATACAAACAGAGTGCCTAGGAAAGAGGGGGGGCTTTTCTGGACACAAGAAGACAAAGGGTAAACTCAAACAAGGAAGGAAAAAAAGCAAAAAGGTTCCTGCTGGACACAAAATACTTCCTTTGAGCTGGACTTAATCCAGTTTCACCAAGGCAACAGGCTGGGCTCTCCCAGGGGCTGGGCTGGGGTTGGGGGTGGCACGAGGATATGGAGTATGATCGCAGTGAGACATGGGGAATGGGGATTGGGGATTGGGGCTGGGGGCAGATGCACAGGACACCCTCACTGTCCTTCCCCTGGATGGCAGCTGGGGCCTCCAGCAGACCCTCAGCCCTGCAGGCACCCGGGTGGCTGGCACCCAGGCAGTGAGGCAAAGAAGGTAGGCAGGACCGGTGCTGGCCCTTCACTGGTCCTGCAGGCGGCTACAGAGCTCCCGCCGGCTCCGCTCCCCAGCCCAGCTGCGGGTCTTGAGGCGGAAGGTCTTCAGCTCGTCCCTGAAGGCTTCGTGGTTCATGGGCCGGTAGTCCTGGGGCTCACAGAAAGTCTGGGGGACAGGATGGGAGGGTCAGTCAATATGGGGGAATGGGAACTTTTAGAGGAAACCTCCCTTTTCCTTGGGCTACCCACTGGCCGAGCCCTTTCCCTGCAGTCCTGCCCTCCCACGAAGGCTTCAGCCACCCCGACCCATGGTACCGGGTGCTGCGGGAAGAACTCCTTATAGCCGCCCTTGAGGATGTACATCTCAGGATAGTAGAGGCTGGGGTAGTCGTTGGCGGCTCTGTCACGCTCCCTGATGAAACGACACCTGGGACCAGCAGAGGTGTAGGGATCAGAGCTGGGAGGTGTTGCAGGATATGCCTCAGGGGACCTGTTCTTTGCACCCCCTCTTTTGTGGACCTTGGAGAGCTACAGAAGGCTTGAATGCAGCAATGTCAGCCATAAGAATGCTTTTAGATCATCTGGCTACTGGATCCAGAGGAGATTGGGGAGATGGAAGGAAGGAGGTAAATCAAGGGAGTTGTTTCTAGAAGGCAGTTCACAATCTTTGTTAGAGATAACTAACCTGGACAGCAAAGGGGGACGCATAAAGGACAGAAGTGGACAAAATTTGAGAGATCTGTTCAGGAGGTCTGGAGAAGACTTGGTGAGCATGAGAGGTGGGGAACAGATAGATCAGTCAAACCCTGAAAGGCTCAGCATCACTGAGGCCTGGGACAGGGCCCTTGGATATTAAGGACACTGCTGGAGACCTGGAACCAGATCTTGAGGGGAAGGGGTGGTGACAATGGATGGAGGGTGGATATAAGGCCTGATGGGAAGGATGGGGAAGAGATGGGAAGAGGGTGCCATGCACAGGAAGGGAGGGTGGGGTCTGCTCCAGGTGCCAGGAGACTAGAGGTCCTGATCTAGTCGGGGCTGGGGCTGGGCTTGAGCCTCTTGGGCATCAGAGCATTCCAGCACCCCAAAGCCTGGGCAGGAAGGTCAGGAGCAGACATTAGCTAGCTGACTCACATGCGGGGACCGCGCTCAGATGAGAATTCACAGTGGAAAATGAGGATGATTCTCTTGTCCAGATTACAGGGTGTGATGGGGCTCTGTAGCAGGAAGGTCTCAGCATCCCGTTCCAGTGGCAGATTCACGGCAGTCTGCCAGGGGAGTGGGAGGTCAGGCCACGGCCCTGGGGCTGGGTGGCTTATACCTCCCCATGCCATCCCCACCTTTCAGACGTGTGATTCCACCTCTTACTGGACAGGATCCTTCCCCGTAGAGGGTGCAGCCGCCCTCCACGGATTCACCCTCCCCGCAGAAGGACAGAACTGGTGGGTCTTCAGGGCCTGTCCCCATCAGCCTGCCTCACCTTGATGTGCCCGCCTTCATACTCGTAGGGGTACCTGCAGTCCACAATCACAAACCTCTCCACGATGTTGCTGAACTTGCCTGCCAGCAAGGCTGCCATCTGTGGGCCACAGAGGTGGGTCCCAGCAGGTCAGGCTGGCAGGAGGGGCCTGACCCCAACCCTACCACCGGTCTGGCCTTGCAGCCCATCCCCAAGGAAGGTGAACAGGCAAACAGCCATCCCAAGTGTGCCTGGAGAATGGCTCATCCCCAAGTACCGTTTCTGGGGAGATGTACTTGAGATCTTGGTGCTTCCCATCCACAGTCTGCAGAAGGAAGGCCTGAAGGGAAAGGGGGAGAG